ATACTGTTATCTCAAATATATTTTCGTTCAAACGACCTTCATTTATTCATACTTTTATCTCTATAATTAATCAAAAAGAGATACGTCATCCTGATAATCAATATCTACGAAAAAAAACCGGGATGAGCGATAATGTTTTTGTACTCGTATGTTTTGGTAGTGCCCCAGAACATATTGGCATTAAGTAGTATATAATGATTTTTTGATTTTTCATAGTAGAACGTCATTTCAGTAATTACATAGATGATATGTATTGAAATTTGCGAGTATTTTTGCTAGTTTATTTTGGAAAGAAAAATTAAATATGTTTTTGGAAAAACGTAAATTTAATATTTTGTTGGGGTATCGGAATTGGTTTCTCTTTATACATACATATATGTGAAGGTTCTTTCTTTGTATGTTCTGTTTCATACTTCAGGGCCAAATCTCTCTGTTGCTTGCCTTTCTACTACTACTATTTCCTCAAGATTTCTTATATCGCGTCCTGTTAAAACCAGTTCGAAAGAAATTTGATCACCACTTAATGCATGATTCTGTTTTTAATTTGATTGTACATATTATTTATAAGAATGCATCTTTGGGGAAGGAAGTCGACGTATTACAAAATATACCTTTGTGTTGAAGCTATTAGCGATTAATTATTTGGAATTTGGCTGAAATTTCTGGAAAATTCGTACTGTATTGTACGTTTCATATGTTTTGCATTTCTTAGGAAAAAACCAAACGTCTTAATTAAATATATCAATTTTATATAGTACAGTTTTAAGAAAATAGAAGTTTTAGTTTTGCGTGAATAATATAAAAAATATACATAGCTAGTTTTGACAATATTTGCCAACGATAAATTAAATTTTCCTTTGGGTGTTCCACTTTTCTGAAAAAAGAAGCGTTAAAAATGTTATCAGTACAAATTTTTGGAAAAAATTTCACTACTATACACTCAAATCTTTGTTTAAACTTTGCTATTCCATTTCCGTTGCATTATTTATCTTTTTTTTTCTATACGTTATTGAATTATGGAAAGCTTAAAAAATGCTCTTTCGCTCAACGTAATTCTATATGACGCCTGCAAAGAAAAAGAAAGAAGGTTGAAAAAATGTGAGTCCATATTAAAAGTTTTTCCAAAAAGTTGCAGTGATAAAGTTTATACAGATTTGAAAAATTATTAATTTAATTTCTGATTTTAAAATTATCTCGAAAATTAAAACGACTAGAGTCCGTTTGCCTTTCTTCAATTAATTAATTGTTTTTGTATTTATGTATTTATTTGTATATTTTCCGAGATCCCAATACATGCGCTAAAATGGCTCATCCGGTATATTTCTGCTTAAATTCCAAGCTTGTTTATATAAAATATTAAATAATGTTATTATTCCTGACATATTGTAACTAAATTTTAATGTACATAGAGCTGCAAACAGTGGCGGCTGGTGCAGCTCTAGAAGTTTTCATAGTAAAAAAAAATAGAATTTAAAATTTAGTTTACAATGTTATCTAGATAATTAAATATGTTAGCCTTATGAAACACATTAAAAAAGAAATGTTAAATTTATAATGTGCAATCAATTTAACTCGACTTGCAAAATTCATTTGAAAAACACTGAATACGTGGACTTCTCGTAGCTCGCCCCTAAATCTGTAAAGTGTTTACAGCGGTGGTCATGGTTACCGTCGCGCAGCAGTGAAAGATGTGGGAGTAGCATATATTTATTATGCATTTGGTCCGCCTGTAACCAAATTAAACGTAATTTGTTTACGTATTGAGTAAAATTTTGTTACCTACGTATTATTTCCTGTGTCTTTAAAAGATTATAAAAGTTTAAAGTGGACTGTAAAGACAGACTAACATCACTTTTAATGCTATCTACTGAAAAATCAATGATGCGGGAAATACCAAACTTTAACGAAAAATTAATAATTAAAGTTTCTTCGGACAAAAGCAGAAGAATGGACTTTCACGATAAAAGATAATGTTGAGCATATTTTTCCCATACATATTTCAATAGTACTTAAAATAAAACTACACAATTATATTTGGTTTTTGTTTTCAATATTTTGTACCTAAATTTTTGCGCCCTCCCTGGTATGGAAGTCAGGAGCCGCCACTGGCTGCAAACATTTCAGACGAATGTTTAACAATTTTCCCAAGTGTACGTTATGTGCGATAATCATAACACTATTCGAAATAATATTGATTTTTATAACTGCAGTGTTTTGAATATTAAATCGCATTTCAAAATTATTGAATGCGTTTTTGTTTTTCTTTGTAAATCAATCAGTACAATTTTTACTTATCATGTTCTATTTATCTTTGTGTCCTCTATATGTGATATTGATTACACTTTTAATTTGAGACTTAAGTATATTTTTTTCTCTGTTTTTACTATTGACTGTATTTGTATTTTTTTATAACTTTATATTATCCTGTCGTGTATCTGTCGGGTATCCGTTTTTTAATATTGCAAATCCTGTTGGACAGTGTAAAATAAAATAAAGACGTAGGCATTTCTATAGGATATACAGGCTGTCTCCTAAAAAACGCCGCAAGCCATAACTCCGTCATTTATAGTCTGATTTTAAAAAACAAAAAATTATGTGAACTGGATCTAAATACACTATAATAGAGTGAGCGCCTATTGGGGCGCATTTATTATTACTATTATTATTTTTCAAAGCGATATACAATTTTTTTTTCAAATAGCAATATATGTTTTTTTTTTATTTATTATTGTGCAGAA